GGGTGGAACACTTCCTCCTGCGCTGAGCATGAATACTGACGGCTTCACAATGATACATAAGATGTAGGAATGTCCATTGCTTGCATGAAATTATCTTATACTTTGCCGTATTTTTTTCACAGACTGATGTTCGAAGGGATACGGAGCAGTGCGTAACTCAGCAAATAAAAACTTTTCCTGAATCTCAAGTTCCCCCCTACTTCAGCTTCAACGGCACAGTCCAAGTCGGCTACCTACTCTGCGAGAAATGGATATGGAGGAATGGGGGCCACAATATAGGGCAGCCAACATACTTCGCCGCTTACTACATTTCAAATCAAACGAATGCTGCCAGCGACCGCGACGAAGACCCGTTTGTGCCAGTCAGGATAGAGTCTTATTACAATTCGGGGCCCTCCGGAAAAACATCGACCCAAAAGGTGCTAAACATCACCTCTTTTCATCGTGACGTCGATGAAGAGTTGTTTAATTTGCCCAGTTTTTGTTAGAATCGATCACCAAGAGCTGACAGTATGAAATCTATCGTTGAACATGAAATTTTTGCGGGAGATTTTTTTTCTTTTTTTTCTGTTTTTTGTTTTTGTATTTTTGTTTTTTTGTTTTTTGTTTTTGCAGGAATAAGATGTTTGTGATCTTCGCTCTGTTTTAAGCAATACAACATTATGAAAAGGAAAGGAACTAAGTTTTCCACTGTATCCCTTTGGATCTTCTGTGTGAAATACGAACTGTATTCGCCATATTGGACGTTTTGTTACTCATGCCAGATTTTCCACTCGTTCAACATGGCGACCAAATGTCCACCCCATTGAAGCTCGCGCTTGGAAACACAAACTTCCACACGCAAGCAGAGTACTTCGCACAAGGACATTATCATTTGACGAAAGCTAAAGCCGAAATTGTCGAGCCGTATATTGCTTTTTTGTTTGTTTGGTTGTTTTCGTCGGGAGATTATCACTACTGACCGAAAACAGCCCCTAAAACCCGCAAAATTTTCAAGTTAGACGGTAATTTCCGACAGAATTTCAAGAAAACGATTTTTTGACGCGATCAGTTAACGACGTAGATGCATGTTGAACCTATCATGATGAGTAGATTCAATAGTTTCTGTTTTGATGACTTGATTGACATGCATTCCTTGAAATTTTTATGAAGTTGACAACAAGTATCTATAAGGCAGAAAAATGATGTTAAAGAAAAATGATATGGCTTCGTGATGTTTTAGCAAATCTTTTGAACCAAGTAAAACATGCAAAGAATAAAGATTTTTCATCAACACAAAAAATTATTTTACTTTGAATTGTTCCTTTGTTTTACACATCAGAACATTTATGTTAATCATAAGTCATTTGTTTATCATCTATTACGTACACAAAAATGCATAAATTGCAAAGCTTTGCACTAAAAGCAATCTTTTGCTAGATGATATGGAGTATCAGGACGCTTGTTTTTATTTTCTTAAACCTTGATTGTTGAGCATTGAAAGTTGAAAGTTAAAGGACTCATTTTCTGTTTTTCTGCATTGCTTGCATCACTTGATCCGCCACTCGATAGTGCTCCAAAATGTCGGAGGCGTCACCCATTTCGTGTGTGACCGGAGGCAGAACAAATCGCTTCGTTGTTGAAAATTCATCGTCTCTAGCATTCATTCCTTCGTTCCCATGATGCCTTTGACGTTTGACAGTTTGAATATCCAGTGGTACGTCATCGATTGCCCCACCCTCCCCCTCATCCTGAATTGTGCATACATCCGGGAGATCAAATATCCGGGACTCGCTGCTTATGCTGATAGACTTATTTGGATAATAGGCCACCATAAATTCCTTGTAGTGGGTAAAAATTTTTTGTTTAGGAATAGCAATGGCGAATTCTACCTTCAGAGGTACATTAGTACCGTTGATTTTAGCCACGTAGATGTGATGCACCTCGACAACTTGTCCTCCACCCCCGAGAGCATTCGTCTCTAAATTATCTGTGAGGCGAGTAAGAATTTTGTCGCGAACTGTTTGGCTAAATCCAACGTTTTTTGCTTCATCCTTCACGGCACTAAAGTTTCCCTGACTGTTGGCTTCGTAAATCCAGTCTTCACATTCGACGCCAAGGATTTCCACGGTACCGTTGTAATGGAAATTGTCGGGAACTTTCGTGAGGCCTCGGAATTCTGGAAGTATGGTCTTGTTGCACAAAGGTGCACCCTCCTTCAAATCGATTGCGTACTAGGACACAGAACAAGAAATCTAAGGAATTTAAGCGATAGAACATATTCCCGGGTTCTATAACGTGATAAAGCCACGTGGGAAGTTGGGGGAACACGAGGAAGGTTTATAAATCGCGAGCCGAAGGCGAATGATTTGTTAGTGATTTATTTATGTTCACCCAAAGTTCGAAGTGGCTTTATCACGTTATAGAGCCCGGAGAAAATGCGCTCTACTGTTTTTATTATATAAGTAGTTATCTGCCGGTTCTATCACCTGATAAAAAAACCGCTTGAAAACTAAATTGACCAATCAGATGATGCGTATTATGTTCATTATACAGTGCTATATAAAGCGCGTTTTGATTAAGTGTCGTAAAACCAAAACCAAAGTAATCACAACAGCCAATCAAAAGAAAGAAAATACCTTGAACGAGCCAATGCATGAGAGCTCAAAGTTATACTACCCAAAGCGCGGGCGCGGGCGCGGGCGCGGGCGCGGGCGACCAAGTCATGATTGGTATTCAATTTTGCAACTGAGTGGTTGAGAGAGTGGCACGAGATTTCTGAACCAATCACAAGGCAAAAAAATTACTGTAAGTTACTTTTATTGTAAATTCCACGAGGTGCATAGCACTGATAAGAGATTATACTGAACTTAATTGCGATGGCGATGTTTTTTTTTTTTTTCAGCAAAAATGGACAAGAATGTTTAAGAACAAATGCGTTATGTGTTAGAAGTGATGAGTGCTTATCTTAGCCGTGGTACTTTTCATGCAGAGCATCATCAAAAACTCTAAGAATCTACTTAACTGTTCCTTTCTCTATATTCATTTCTTCAGAAAGTTTAGGCTTCTATTACCATGCATAACATGCACTATAGATGTACTATAGAGACAAGCTTATCTTTTCCCTTTCGAAGATTTCATTTTCACGTTCTTTTTTATTTTTTCTTTGTTTTGCTTTCGTCTCTCTTTTTGTTTTTTTGTTTTTCTTTTTAACTTTCAGAAGAAGACAACTCATACACGGACACAGACTTCCTCCTTTCGGAAGGGTGAGAGACCCTGGTAACGAGAATAAAATTTGAATGTCATTTTTTTCCCGGAGCCCGCAATCACTCATAGCCAGTGGACTGTAATGTATATCTGTCTCATACTTTGAATTCTGTAATCCTCGGAGTCTGGGGATTAGACTAAAAATTATTTACCTGAGACCACCCTTCTCCTTCAGGCACAATTATCACTGTCATGTGCTGCGTCAGCCCCATCACGAGATCTTCACGTGATCTGCCACCTTTCTTGTCATCGCGGTATTTTTCACTCACTACAATCCGTCCTTCGCAGCCATCCTTGTCACAGAACGCGTCTGTTACAAATATCACGCCAAAGTACGACTGGGGAAACTCGGGCCGAACGCGTTCGGCCCCAGATCGGACGCAGGGATTTGGCGTGTGCGTTACACAGAAGCCTAGTTCAGTTTTGCTATTGCACACACATCTGTAATACAGAAAGGGCGTAATCAGAATTGTAAACACTTGAATGATTCTTTGTAGAGTAGAGTGTGTTTTAATTTTTTGGATGGAAAAGATGAGAAAGCCAATCAGAACGCATAATTTCCCCCTTCACCAGCGCACATCGGAGCCAGTTACGTTATAGAGAGAGGGTGAGTAAACATACTTGGAGCCAGCTGGACAATGATGAAGCTCTTCCGCGGGCTCATCCAAAGCATCAATTAAACACTCTCGCCATCCTGTGTAGTCAGCCAAGCAGTACTTGCCAAGTGGCTTCGCATCACAGAACTTGTATTCCTCCGCATGGGATGACGGGAAACAGAGAATGACAAGTTGAAACATCAGGAGTGCAATTACTCCCATGATGCCTCAGTTCTGTCTGAACAAGAAAAACAGAAAAAAACTTTTCTTGACCTTGGATAAGCGGAGGAGGGTAGATAAATTTTCAAGAGATTTTTACTCGTTGTTTTCCGAGAGCTTCAAAGCATTTATATTGCTCGCTGTCTTTTTCTTTTGGTGACTTATTTGATCTGCAATCTTTCACAATTTTGATTAGTGTACATCAATATCAACTAGAACTATCAAATGTGTCGTTCAGTGGAGGAAATTTTATAATCATTGTATTTAAATTCAGAGCTGAGAGGGAACTACCATATTTCGTCAAAAAATTAAAATCTTTATTTTACCTGAGACTTTGCAAAGTTTTCAATCAAGACGACATCCGTGCTTTTAAAAAATTTTGTGTAAAATGCCGTTGTTTCAATGCTCTTAATTCTTGTACATGTTAGTCAAACAGTTTTTTTCTCTCTTTTTCTCTTTTGTGAATGATTATATATTTTGTTATTTCTAAGCATGGAGGTTTGTGAGTGGGTTGGGTTTCAATTTTGTCTGTTTGTAGGGGATAGGGAAAAGTAATTTACCAAGCAGGGAACAACCTTGTCCTATTGTAAATTTACCTGCCTTTGCCCAAATTGTTAGATAAAAGAAAAGAAAATAAATTCAGTTGTTCCTGCAGAAAACGTAATCAGCTTAGTGATACTGAGTGTATTTTTGCCCAGCTTGTCAAGTAAGATCAAGTGATATTTTTTCGTACAAAATATGACTTGCTACTGAACTTAAATTTTCAAAGTCAATCATGAACATCTCGGAAAGTTTATTCCGAGATTTGCGAGAGTATCCCGTTTAGGCTCGATTCCAATAGTTTCAAGAAATAGTTTTATGAAAAAATTTTAGCGCCGAATCTTTGTGTCGATCAAGAAATAAGCTCAACAACTGAGTTACACAAGACGCCGGTTTTACTTAGTTTTACAACTGTTCCCTTTGCTAGCTAATAAAGTGTTTAAACAACATACCTGTAGACTTAAAACACTCTTCGTATCCGTTTTTGTTTCTCACTTATTTAAATCATCAAAATTTTCTGCCAGAAGAACGACGACAATTCTTACCTGATAGCCTTAAATTAAAAATGAATATCGGAAATGCACGATGGGTTTGAGTAATGGTTTCCTCCAAAATGGCAGATACCAGTCGAAATGGGTGGGGTTGAGGCTGAACCAGGTAAGAACAATTAGCTAGGATGATCGGAACCATCTAAAAATCCTCCCCCCCCCCCGCCACAAATTCCTGTTTTTGTTAGATTTTTTTTCTCGACCTAGCCTGAGAATACAGTTTGTCATATTCAGCGCTGAAAAGTGCTGTTCGTGTACCGGATAGTCTGCTCGGTCGTTGCTTTATTGAGCTTGGCGTCAGGGAATATATAAAAGTCAATTACTCGGCCGGTAAGTTGAAACAAGTCACAGAAATTTATTCTGAGATGGGACGTAGAAACATGAAAATGAAGGGACTATTCCCTAAAATTCATCTATATCAGATGGGAATCACCCTTCCAAATGCATTGGATAGAATTTTTAAAATTACTTTTGGACTAGGAATCTCGGAAGTCAGTTTTGAAATGATTGAAGGATTTCTGTTAAAGAGACTAGTCCGGCTGAAACATGAGCCCGTGTAGCCATGCCCTTTTCTAGTCAGCGTACTCAATATTAGTTACCAGTGTCTCAAAGAAGCCACGATCACAGCCTGTCGGAAAATGTCGAATCGAGGAGCTTATTACAAGAATCGGTATGGAGGAAGAAGGTAATTATGGGCTTTGATTTGTATAGAAAGGCTATTGATGAGGAAAAAAAGACACAAATAGAATCAGATCAAAGCATAGAAAAGAGGCAAAGGGACAGGAAATATATAATTTTTGTAGATCGATAATCAATGGAAGAATTACACGTGTACATGACTAAGGATAGAAAGTCATTCTTGTAGACATGTTAAGTTGTGAGACGTAACAGCGTTTGCTCTGTTTATATTACGAAACAAACGTTATATCTATTTTCTATTCCTGAATATCAAGATATACTTTACGTATATATGCACGATCCTTCGCAGTAAAGCACTATTTGAGCAATAGTGAAAATCAGACCTGAAAAAAATTTCAGGCCTGTACGGGATTCGAACCACTGACCTCTGCGATACTAGTGCAGCGCTCTACCAATTGAGCTAACAAGCCAACTGGGAGCAGGCCATCAAATTAATTCGACATAAACCCGTAGATGATAAATCAAACAACAACAAACATATGAAACATATGTATGAACTGCGGTTATGA